ATGCGATGTGACGGTATTGTACGTGTTGTGATATGCGATGTGTGCACTGAATGAATGAGATGCTGAGAAGTGGATATGGATGCAATGCGATGGTATGGTATGGATATGCAGATGCTTTTGAGCTGATACTCGTGGACGTGAGAGTGCTTGGTGTGTGAATGCTGAATGAATGAATGAATGAATGCGAATGAGATGCCGAAGCATGAAGTATAGATGCCATGCGATGCTATATTTGACTCGGAGCTGGGGCTCGCGTGATGGATGATGATGGGCTTGAAATGCGAGAGACATATGATATAATACTGGAAAACGTGTGATGCGTTAAAGATGAATTATAAAACCAACCGAAGGTGGGGCAAGGGCCAACTCACATAGTGTGGTGGCACCCAGTATTTGCTGCCTCACTTGAATTGGTCTGGCTGTCATTCCATGTGAGGGGTATATAGGATAGTGCCTCCACAATAAAAGCGAACTACCAAAGACTGGGGCGATGGGGTATAACCTAAGAGCTGCACGTCAGCATACAGTCAGAGCCAAGAATGAACGACAACGAACCATGAAGAAATCGGCCCAAACTTGAGACACAGCCGACTCTCAAATCATTACACGCCGAACTGTTCCCAATTTACGATTTCATGTCGAGGCATCTAGGGGTCCTGCAGGATACATCAATCGTGCACCCACCGCAACCCCTTCGCAGAGGTGGACCTAGGAGTACACGGTAGACCCCGGGGCTCATTCTCCAAGAACAAGTTCAACCGGTCTTCAGCCTCTTCAAGCCGCACTCCGACCAGGAGTACGACTCTCATTCGGGTGGGGGGTCGGATGTCTCGGTTGCCCTCCCCACCTTCTGGGTGCGTGAATGGACATAATATTGAGATTGGAAAGGCTTAAGAAGGGTCTTCGAGGGCTCCAAAACGGCGCATCGTCGGTGTCGTCGGGTGGAGAGTGATTAACGAGTGAATTATGCAGGTCGTAAAGATCTGAAGCACAACTGTCAGTCTGAGAACTACAACTGATTGATGAAGTCATACCTAAAAAGACATGCGTCGTCTGTCGAAAGGGCAGTGGCCACTAGCTACTTGAAAGCCAAGGACACGTCTGTGCGTCACAGCCGTGCAGATTCCCAATACATGAGGGGCAAAGCAGAAGGCGGAGGTAGAAGAAAGAGAGTATTTGAAGTAAAGTTCAAGCACATGTTCCACCAGGACTTTATAGATTCGTGAGTGACCTGTTAGTGCCGTGTCAACGCTGCACAGACCACGCACCTCGCGGTCGATGTTCCAGAACATCACATCCTCTTTTGTCTAATCTTTTGTTCTTTTGTGTGCGTTGGCCA